GTGTGTGTCCCAGCGTCAGAGTGACACTTCATTCTATTTGTTTTAATCTCTTACAGCGTAGGCTCGGGGGTCCGGCTTCGGCAGACCCAGGAATCTTTCTGAAAAGGCAGACGCTGGAGAGAGGAGACATTTTCAGATGTTATGTTAAAATAATCCAAATGTATTTGAATAAACACAAATTAAACAGAGCAACAACCAGACTGCTGTGTGTGTGTGTGTGTGTGTGTGTGTGTGTGTTGTTTAGGTCACATTAAAAAAGGTTTACCGTATAATTCAAAGTCCGTGACTGGAGAGAGAACGGCTCCACATTTGACTGGAGTCTCTTCACCACTGAGCAACAGGCTGGTCACGTACCCTCCATACACCTGGTGGAGAACACACACACACACACACACACACACACACACAGGTGAACAAGCAGATTCTCACCAACATGAAAACTTCCTTCTCTGTTGTGATTCTGTTCTCACTTTTCCAAAAGCTCCGACTCGACTCTTATCCACGTACGACTCCTTCAGAAGGAAACTGATGGAACACAAACACAAACATCAAGTCAAGAACTTTATGTATTGTATTAAATAATAAAAGTAATAAGAGTAAGTTTAACATAAAATAATCTGATTATATTATCATATTTATAATATTCATCAGCTATATATAATTACAGTTATATAAAATATACTATATTTTCTAAATATTCAAATACACCTACATATATACATATATAGTCTTTCTACATAGATACAGACATATACATAATCATTTACATACAAATATAGCATTTTATCAAATCTATCTATTTTTTAAATAGAAATATGTTGGTTTTATTCTGCTACTCCACCTGAGGGCGCTCTTCTGGTCCTGTTCTTCAAACACTCCCACTTTCTTCTGAATCCGGTGCAGCAGGTTGGTTCCCTGGAATCCACTTCCTCGTCCATCACAGCGAACCACGATGACCTCGAAGCTGCTGATCAGAACTGTGAACCAGTCCATGTGAAACTGCTCTGACACCGTCTGACCACCAGGTGTCCCATCACTGCACAGGCAGAGTCAGGGAAGGAGAAATGTGAAGAAGAGCTGTAGAAGCTCAGCAACGAGGTTTTTTTTTTTATGTATGTAATATTTTTAAGGAACAAATTCTATGTGAATGAAGCCGGTAACAGTTCTGGGAATGTTCTCATCCACAGGAACTATTTCTAGAACTGTTGTGTGAGTTACTGTGTTAATGTAGATGTGTGACTCACACTAGCAGCAGCAGAGGGTAGTGAGAAGTTTCCATGAAAGTTGCGGGTTTGAGGATCTGCAGCGACAAGGCTGAAACAGAGGGTCGGGGGTTAGAATCCCTGGGATCACATTTAACACATTTGCGGCTGAGAATGTGGCACAGGCCTGAACATTTGCGACACCTACTGTAATCATCCACGCTGATCTCTTTGTACTCCACTGTGGGCATCTGCATGGAGTCCAAGGTGACCCTCAGGACCTCATTGTTTTCCAGTTTGAAAACCTCTGACATACCTGCGGACACAAACCACAGTCACACAGTCAGGTGGGTCCAGGGACACATCAGCTGTTAACTGAAAGAAATACTGGCACACTGAAATATCACAATATCAGGTTAACATGTCAATGTTCTACAGCAGTGTATCTTTTATTATAATTAACAATTAAACGGTCCAATATTCCTGGTGTTGGTTCATGTTATTTTTCCTTTTCCTTCTTCTCTAGTGATAACAAACTTAGATCGCTCTGTTATCGCATCATCGCCCCCTGTATCGTGATACATATCGTATCGCCAGATTCTTGTCTGTCTCAACTCAACTCAAACCCCCTCCACTGCTGAGTCAGTGCACCTCAATAAAGAACTCCATTATTACTGACAGCTGCAGCAGCTCAGATATGGGAGGTACATTTTAAATCTGTTCAAATCAATAAAACCTTGAATCTGTTTGTCGTCTTCTCAAAGTTCAGTTAGAAACCATTTTAGTCCAGCCAGGAAAAAACACAATTCAAAACACACACCCTCACAGCAGTGGAGCTGAACAGCTGACCTGGATTCTTGGACCTCGTCCTACATAAATAAGAACCACCTGCCTGCATCTACAGGTTCTGCTGCTCTGGTTGTCCTGGTTTCTGTTTTTGCTGCAGTCGAAAAAGTCCGTTCACTTACAAACTAGAACACTACACTACACTTTTATTATTTTACTCTAAACTCAGCTGAGTCACGTGTGAGCCTTTTAAACTTTGTTAACCTTACCTGAGAACAGACGTAAATTACTGTCAGGTTTAAAAAAAGAAAAAAGAAAATGTTGTGTAATTAAATGTAGCAGTGTTCACTGCTGACAGGCTGATTTTAATAGAGTGAGGACAGGAGCGTCACACTGATGAAAGACGACGGACAGGATCAGGTTCAGACACAGTCATTAAATTACAGCCTGCTGCTGCGAAGCTGCTCCTAATTTAATGCCTGCGCTGTGTCCTCGGGAAAAATGATGGCTTAATTTCATTACCACGGACACACACACACACACACACACACACACACACACACACACACGCTGGACACTGTTCCGACAGGACAGGTGCTCACACTCACTCTGCTTGCCAAGGTCAAGGTCATTGAAAAAAACACCACACATAGAGACTTTCTCTAATCCAACTTACTCTCTCTCTCCTGTGACTCACTCTCAGTGTCTCTCTGCATCTTATGGACAGCTACAAACGGGACATCCGGACCTGGGGAGAGAATCACAGGAACAGGCAGCTGTCAGCAGCTGAAGACACATTAGTCTGATTTTATACAGACATCCAAATGGACGTTTCCGTACGTACGTCAGTACTAGTTAAAGACAGTGACGTATGGTACAGCGTTGTACTGTAGACAAACCTTGGCAGCTGAGCAGGAAGTAGCTCATGTTGTGGCTGAAGGAGCCGCTGATGTAGCCGCAGCTGTCGGACATGGCACAAGAGAGGCAGCGACGGTTGAAAGATCCAAATGTGTCGGCGCTGCAACAGCAAAAAGACAGGAGGTTCGAAAACTTAAGAGGCTAAATTTAAATAAAATAAAACCTCCATGTGACACGGGTGCAGATGTTACCTGTACAGGTGTCTTCGCTTGGGACCATCCTCGGTGCTCAAGAAATATCTGCAAAATGATAAAGAAACAGAGACAAAAATTAACTGACACAAGGATTAACACAAGTGACCAACAGTGTGCGTTCCACTTTCTAAATGTAGCTCCAGTGCAATAATCTAGTTTCAGATCATCATTCTAACACAGCTGGACAATAAAAATGCCTCATTTACTGCTGGACGCATGGCTTGATTTGTTTGGAATGTGAAATGTCCATGGGTGTTAAAGAAAGCCTGCTGCTCTCCAGCACCATGGACAGCGTTTTAATGGGAGCAGAAATGGGAGGGCGTCTCTCTTTATGGTGCTAAAAGCCACAGCCAAGTGGTTCAGCACCACGGACAGAGCCACACAACAACGTATCAAATGTTTAACTTGCTGCCAAGGCCGGCCTGCAGTGTTTCAGTGCCACGGATAGAGACATAAAGTCTGACTGTGGAGGCGCTAGAAGTCAGAAGGAAATGTTTCGTGCTGTGTTTAGCACCATGGACAGGGAATATTTCATATCAGTTTTTCATGATGTTTTGTTCTAACACAATGTTTTGACACCATGGATAAACATTTTATAGACTGTGAATTTTAGAATCATGTTCAAGAAGCATAAAAAAGTTATGATTAAAACAATGCTATAACATGATTTCTGCACCGTGGAATCTAGCATTACATGAGAGGAAA